AAGGGAAACAAAAAATGACTCTGAGCAGCATCTCGAGGGGAAATTCCCACGAGCAGATGGAAGTCAGTCATTCCCTAAGTGGAACAAGGCAACTTTCCAGGTGAGTCTCGTGAATGTATCTTCTGTGGACACTAAGCTCCCTACCCGAAACCCATCTTAAATTACTGTTTTCCCTCCAAAGGATCATTTTCCCGACTGTGGGAGATACTAGTATGTTCTTGGCTAAGTTAACAATTACACAAATTTCAACAAGTCTTTCTTTGTTTTTAGAAGTCTATCTTTTTTAGCTGCCTTCAGCACTTTTTTTAGGTAAATAGCAACAAAGGAAACAGAGTCAGTCCCTAAGGACATTACGTCTTAAATGGTTTAAGACTGGTTATATGATTCTGAAACTTCTCTGCTTGCTGTGCAGGCTGGGCTGGGCGGCGGGGCAGCTGGGTCTGGCTCCAGTTCTCTCATGAACTAGGTATGTGACCTCCAGCAAATCTAACCTTTGGTCCAGTTTCCTCCACGGGCAAATGAGGACGGCGTCCCTTTCTTAATCTGTCTCAGCATGTTAAAAGCTTTCACTGACATCTTAGATGTGATAACACTTTGGAAAATTTAAAGTTTAATGTGAATGTAAAGCAGGGTTCATTTTTCATTTGAACGAAAACCTTTTAAACGTTTTACGCATAAAATATGTGCTCTCAGTGTATGTGGATGTTGGAGGACTTCGTCTGTAAAGCCGTTAACACCCTCTGTCATCTTTTTCTTCTCCAATCTGTTAGCAATGAGCACAGGGGTTAAGTGTCTTCTAAAAACAGCACTCACTCTTAGGTTGTCGGGAAGGGTCCTCCGTGACTGCTCTAATGGTTTTAAGTTTCACATTGGAATGTTGGAGGAGTTACTTTATTGCTAAAGCAATAGACTGGAAACTGAAGCCTAGAAATGGGGTAAAAATGAAAATTTCAAAGAGAGAAAAAAAAAGAAAGGAGGCAATTGGGTCATGGAAATGCCACGATGACTTATCCTAGTATGTAGTCTGTATTCTATTTAATGAAGGATGTAGCAGAAAAAAAAGAATGTACACAGGTCCGTATTGTTTTTAGGGGAGTAAGAAAGTATCATGAATTTGAAGTCTTAGGGGGGATGGTCTTGGCATTCCTCAGACTTGCTCTCTCGTGTCTGGTCCCCGATCCATGGGGCTTCCCATTTCCAGTCCCCTGCCCTTCCCTCTGCTTGCTCCCTGTCACATCACATCTGAGGGTAGAAGTGACTCTCAGTTTCCTTTTAGGAACCGAGAACGTGTGTGAAGCATGCTTCTCTTTCTTGAGCGCCTGTACGTAGTTGAACACATGCTGATTGGGTATATACCGCGGGACAGGAGATACAAAGGTGAATGATAGACGATCGCTGTCCTCCTCCCCTTGCTGAAGATCTGAGCGTTGGTTGGGCTAAAACAGGACACCAACAAGTATCTGCTGTTTTGAGGAGGGAGAGAGCATCTCTAGTCATGTGCCTCAGGGAGACTTAGGGCAGAACACCAGGCAGGCCTTGAGCGACACCCACAAGCCAGCCTGGGTAGGAGCACAGGAGCATGGGGTGTCTTGAAAGACCTGCCGAACACTTTGGCCTTCATGCTGTAGGCAACTGGAAGAACATGGTGAGATTATTAGTCTACTCTTCCTCAGAGAATCTCACATGGCCTTGTGTCCATCCTGTTCCTTGTCCCTCTCCCCACACAAAAACATCCCTAGCCCCAGGAAGAAGGCTTGGGGGGGGGGCGCCCAGCTTAAAGGTCCCCTATATACCCTATGGTGGGTGGATTCAGCAGGTGACTTCTAACCTCCACACCCACTGGCCCCAGTGATAGCTCGCTTCTGCATCAAGCTTCAAGGGGCCTGCATCAAGCTTCAGACCCCGGCTTCGACTCCAAGGAGAAGGATATGATGAACAAGGGGTTGCTTGGCTCCCTGCTCAGGGCCCACTGTGACCCAGGCTTCAAGGCTGGGCAGGTGCCAAAGCCGGGCAAGCTGGACCAGCTGCAGCAGGGCCATAGGGGCCCAATCAACGTGCTCAAAGGGCAAACGAGTTCTCCCAGAGCTCAGTCCCCATGTGCATTACCAACAAGAAGTGAGGTTGAAAGGGGCTTTTCTGAACCATCAGGAATAAAAAACAAATATCCATCAGTCATCCTAGAGGAAAGACCATTTTTCTATCCTCTATGCTTTCTATAGAAAATGATGTTAAAAAAAAACTATTAAAGCCATATGACAAAGTGGACAAAGAGCGTGTGGCAAAATATAGGAAGAAAGTATCCTAGAAGTATGCTACATCATTAATAAATAATGCTATATTGCTTTTCTAAAATTTGTAATATTTATGGCATTCGTCAGCTTTCACATTTTATAATTAATTGTGGTCTTCTTCATTCTAAATAGTTACCTTCATACTTAATTTTGTAATTAAAAGTTTGTATTCTTTTTCTTAACAATTCTCCAACTGTATAAGCTCGAGGCCCCACAAATTTGGATCAGGCCTTTGGATGATTCCACAATATTAGCTCAATAAATACCTAATTACAATTGCTAAGAACACTGAGCTCCTGGGACTGAAGATCACTAGGGAAATAAAATGCATTTCAAACAAAGAGACAAAATAAATAACTGAATTAGTAGCTTGGTTGGAAAATCACTATCTTTATGCCTGGGACCTTAAATTGGGACAATGTCGGGCTCTGGATGCCACACTAGCCCACGGAGGGGCCAGTCTGCGTGACTCCAAGTGGCTGTCCAACTGGCTCCGCTGGAGGCAGCTGTGCGGCATTAATAATTTCTAACACCATTCCCACTTGTAACTTCCAGCAGGTTATTTTCCCAATCAGGCCTCCCGATTGAAAATTAGATGGGATGTGTAAATATAAAGTATTCAAGAAGGAGGAAAGGTATAATTTAATTCTTTGTAGGTCAACTATATTTGCCAAAACTTAAGAATGCTAAAAACCAAAATTGTCAGAGTTCTAACTGAAGTCCAATTAATTAATTGCCTGGTACAATTACTCAACTTGCTTAAGTTTATAGAATGAATACATCTGAACACTATAGAAACTTGTTTTAAAGAGGAATTCAATATGCCCTGGCTGGTTTGGCTCAGTGCTAGAGCGTCAGCCGTGGACCAGAGTCGTGAGTTCGATTCCGGTCAAGGGCACGTACCTCGGTGAGGGTTTGTTCCCTGGCCCTGGTTGGGGCCATGCAGGAGGCAACCGATTGATGTGTCTCTCTCACATCGATGTTTCTCTCCACCCTCCCCACTCTGTCTGAAGAAAAATGGAAAAACATCCTCAGGTGAGGATTAAAAAAAAAGAAATTCACTATGTTTGAGTTTGCTGTATGTAAATGAAATAGTTTATAGGACTGAAATGTGCTACAGGGTTACAACTCCCCAAAGTTACAATTTCTGTTTTTCAAAATCCAAAACATGGACAAAATACATGAATCAATGGTTTTCAAGATACTGGACAGCAAGAAGGAAGGACAGTGGTCCCTGAGAGACGGGTAACAAACAAGGTGAGCCCTACAGTTGCCCCAGATTCCTGCCTTGAGGAGTTTCCGGGTCGCCGTGCACAGAGGGGACCTCACAGGAGTCCCACAATCTCCTTGAGTTGAGGAGACAAATTGACCAACACAATCCTGGTCAAATTCTAGCTAGATGTTTTTTTTGGTAGAAATTTTAAAAAACAACTGATTCTAAAATTCATATGGAAACTCAATTCAAAGAATAACAATAGCCAAAATTAATTTGTAAAAGAACAAAGCTGGAGTCCTGGCCGGTTTGGCTCAGCGGTTAGAGTGTCGGCTTGCGGTCCTGAGAGACCCAGGTTCGGTTCCGCTAAGGGCGCGTACCTCGGTTGCAGTTTGTCCCCGGCCCTGGTCGGTCGTGTGGGTGGCAGCCACTTGATGTGTTCCTTTCACATCAATGTTTCTCTCTCTCTCTCTCTGTTCCTCTCTCTCCCTCCCACTCTATCTGAACAAAAAATGGAAAAATGTCCTCGGGTGAGGATAAAAAAAAAAAAGAACAAAGCTGGAGCAATACAGGCAAATACACATAGCATGTTAAGTGTGAGCACAAGAAAAGAGTATATACACACAAGCTCTATCATTTTTGTAATTGTTTAATGTCAAAATAATATTCTATTATAGTTATATTCTAATATGGTTAACTGCTTTCCTATTATGGGACATTGTGTTTTGCTATAATAAAGTATGCTGTTATGGCCCAGCTGGTGTGGCTCGGTAGTTGAGTGTCGACCCATCCACCAAGAGGTCACTGGTACGATTCCAGGTCAGGATACATGCCCAGGTTGTGGGCCTGATCCCCAGTAGGGGGCATGTAGGAGGCGGCCAGTCGATGTTCTCTCTCATTAATGTTTCTTTCTCTCCCTTTCACTTCTTCCCTCTCTAAAAAAAAATCAATAAAAAAAAATGCTGTTATGAATATTTGTGTATAAATAATTATACTTTTTCTTTTTAGGATTATTTCTATGAAATGAAATGATAAGATTAAAGAGTTAATACACTTTTAAGGCTCTGGATACTCTGGTAAGTGTTTGTCTAAATGGCCTCCTCCCATCAGCATACCAGAAAGTTCCAGTGTGTGGCATCATTGTCAGCATTAAATGTTTCTTGAAAGAAAGAAAAAAATCCTTGCTAATTCAATGATAAAACAGTATCTTTTCCATTTTATTCACATTCCTGTGATTACTAGTTACAATATATTTCCTCTTTTACCACTGAAGGGTTCACATCCTTTGTCCATTTTTCATCCACATGAATAAAATTATTTTGTTTTGTCAAGTTTCCATCTAAGCAACAATAAAACACTCACTAGAGTTCATTTTATTGGACTGATTTAAGAATTTTTATTTAAAGAAATATTCTGAAGACTACAGTTTATTGATAGGAAAAATATAAAGCATATAATTTTAAAGATAATTTTTTACTGACATTATAGGAAATAGACTTCTCCAAATAACATGATTAGTTTTGTAGTGCTATTAGTGAATGCATTCTACAGAAACGTGGTTTTGCCTTAAAATCTGAGCACAGAGCACATACCCTTACATTAAAAGAAGAAGAAGAAAAAAAAGACAACCCCTCCCTCCACAACTTTGGTAAGTTTAAAATTTAGTAGACCACATCTGATTTGTTGAAGAGTAAGTTCTTTTATTTACCCCTTGAAGGCAGTGCACATTTTTTTCATATCTTCATGTGCCATTTTATCCTATAAAGAAAACACAAATACGCAATGAAAATCCACACATTTATCCTGATACCCAAGGTTACTTTGAGGTAGATTTTTGTTGAGTGAGGGGAGACTTTTTTGAAAGGCCGTTACAAAGAAACTGTGGATTTCTTAGGACCAGGCCTGATTCAGATCTCTGAGAATGTGAGCAACGGAGAGTTATGTCCAGGCTCGTCTTCCTCAGGCGTGGAGTGGTTGGAAATGGGAAGGAGAGTGTGTTAATGAGAACATTGTTTTCTTCTTTTATAAGATGTGGAAGAAGTCCTGGCCCTGGTGGCAGGATTTGAGGAAATCTGAGACTCCACTGTAAGATCCAGACAGGCAAATACACATTTCATCATTGGCTTTATCAGAGACTTTATAATTAAGATTAAAAATCATGTATGTTTATGATTTTTAATCCTATGCTTTCAGTCACATAATGATTTATAGGATCCACATGTATTGTTATTTCTTTAAAACAAGTGTGTAAGTTAGAAAGGGTGGCAATAAATTCATGTGGTAGGGTACTCTTCTGCATTTTGCATTTAACAAACATTTACTTGGCACCTATCAAAAAGAATTTAAGGAATGTAATAAATGTAAAATAAACATGAGGAAAACTGGAAAAAACAAGATCTTTGAAGTAGCTGCTAGCTATACTTTTCTGAAACTGGAAATTCTTTAATAGCTGCTTTTTTTTTAAACTTATCTTTATTGTTGAATATATTACAGATGGCCCCTATTTTCCCCCCACTGACTCCTCCTCCCCAATCCCACTCCTCTCCTGCCTTCCTCAAACTATTGTCTGTGTCCATTGGTTATGCACATATGCATAGAAGTTCTCTGGTTTATCTCTTCCAGCCCTCCCTCCCCCCTTCCCTTTGAGGTTCATCAGTCCAACAATTTGTACTTCTTTTTTTCTTTTTTTTATCACCCTCACCCGAGGACATTTTTCCATTTTTTGTTCAGATAGACTGGGAGGGAGAGAGAGGAAGAGAGAGAGAGAAACATTGATGTGAAAGGGACACATCGAGTGGTCGCCACCCGCACAACCAACCAGGGCCGGGGACAAACTGCAACCAAGGCACGTTCCCTTAGCGGGAACCAAACCCAGGTCTCTCCGGACCACAGGCCAATGCTCTAACCACTGAGCCAAACCGGCCAGGGCCAATGTGTACTTCTTAATTCCTTTATCCTTTTCACCCATTCCCCAGCCACCTCCCATCTGGCAAGCAACAAAAAATTCTCTGTATCTGTGAATCTGTTTCTGTTCTGCTTGGTCATTTTGTCTGTAGATTCAACTGTTGATAGATATGTATTAATTGCCATTTTATTATTAATATTTTTGTTCTTTTCCTTCAAAAAGACCTTTCAACATTTCATATAATACTGGTTTGGTGGTGATGAACTCCTTTAGCTTTTTCTTGTCTGGGAAATTCTTTATATGTCAATTGATTCTAAATGATAGCTTTGCAGGATAGAGTAATCTTGGTTGTAGGTCATTGCTTTTCATCACTTTAAATATCTCTTGCCACTCCTTTCTGGCCTGCAAAGTTTCTATTGAGAAATCAGCTGACAGTCTTATGGGAGCTCTTTTGTAGGTAACGAACTGCTTTTCTCTTGCTGCTTTTAAGATTCTCTCTTTGTCTTTAACCTTTGACATTTGGATGATGATGTGTCTTGGTGTGGACCCCTCTGGGTTCATCTTGTTTGGGACTCTCTGTGCTTCCTGGACTTGTATGTCTGTTTCCTTCACCAAGTTAGGGAAGTTTTCTGTCATTATTTTTTCAAACAGGTTTTCAATTTCTTGCTCTCTCTCTCTTCTCCTTCTGGCACCCCCCATGATGTGAATGTTGGTATACTTGAAGTTGTTCCAGAGGCTCCTTACACTATCCTCATGTTTTGGGTTTTTTTTTTATTATTTTTTCTTTTTGCTGTTCTGATTGGGTGTTTTTTGCTTCTTTTTAATCCAAATCAATAGTTTGCTTCTTGGCTTCACTTATTCTACTATTGATTCCCTGAAAATTATTTTATTTCAGTTAGTGCATCCTTCATTTCTGACTGGCCCTTTTTCATGTTGTTGATGGTTTCACTAAGTTTCTTGAGCATCCTTATAACCAGCGTTTTGAACTCTGCATCTGATTGAATGCTTATCTCCATTTTGTTTAATTCTTTTCCTGGGGTTTTGTTCTGTTTTTTCATTTGGGACATGTTTCTTTGTCTCCTCATTTTGGCTGCTTCCCTGTGATTGTTTCTTTATATTAGGTAGAGTTGCTATATCTCCTAGGCTTTGTAGGGTGGCCTATTGTAGTAGGTGTCCTGTAGGGTCCAGTAGCACAGCCTCCATGGTCACCCCAGCTGTGTCCTTGAGGTGCACCCCTGGTGTGAACTGTACACCATTCTGCTATAACTGAGTCTCGATTGCTGTTGGCACATCAATGGGAGGGATTTACTCAGGCTGATCAGCTGCAAGGACTGGCTGTGCCCACTGACTACTGGCTTCTGACTACCTTGGAGGAACAGCTGTGTAGGGGCCCATCACCCAGAGTAAGACTTACTTCAGCAGGGTTCTGGTACCCACTGAGTCTACTCATTGAGTGCGTCACCTGTGGAAGTGGTTGGGTGGTGGTGCTTCCATGTAGTCTTAAGCTGTCCACTGGGTGTGCGTGCTCTGGGGCAAGGTTAGCCACTCACTGCCTGTGTTCTATCCAGGGCCACCCAGCATTAGCTACAAAGTGATGTGTTGATGGCTGCTTCTTATGCTGAACTTGGAGGTGCCCAGGAAAAGCCACGTTGTGAACCAAGGCTGGCTGCTTCTAGTGCCAGACCTGGGACCACTTAACGAGAGGTATGGGGCTAGCTGAGACCAGATGGGGCTTATTTGAGAGATTTTTAAAAAAATCTGAAGCAGGATCCAAGACAGGCCAATCCTATGGTAAAGCCATTGGAAACAGCTTGGGTGGGCCTAAAAGTTGGGTGGAGAAGGGCCTCAGGGAATCACCAGGGTGGGGCAAACAGTGTGAGCCAGGTTGCTGGAGTCCCAGATATGGCTGCTGCCCCAGGGAAGGGCTCACCAAAGGAACAGAGGCCTCTGACAGCACGTTTGTCCAGGAGAAAGCTGCCCCAGTGCCAAATAACTCAGTTCTTCCCTGTATGTCTCTGGTGACTTTACAGATTCCTTCCCAATGCTGGAGCCCAGAAGGAGCAAGTCCGAGTAAGTCTGTGCGGGCCCTTTAAGAGGAACTGCCTGGGGCTCCAGCAGCCTCAACCTCCCTCAGCCTCAGTTCCTGCTGGTTTAAAGCCAGAAGTGATGGGAATTTCTCTTCCTGGCACTGGAACCCTGAGCTGGGAGCCTGGTGTGGGACAGGGACCCCTCATTCCTTAGGGAGGACCTTCACAGTTGAAGTTTCCTCCTGATTTTTATCCACCACAGCCAGCCCAAATCCCCGCCCCTCCTACCAGTCTCAGTGTGGCTTTTTCTTTAATTTCATAGTTGTAGGACTTCCATTCAGCTCGATTTCTGGTGATTCTGAATAATGGTCGTGCTGTAGTTTAGTTGTAATTTTGATGTGGTTGTGAGAGGAGGTGATACTGCGTTTACCTACACCATCATGTTGACCGGAAGTCCCCTCTTTAATAGCTTTAATCATAAAGCTATTAATATACTAACCCAGTTGTAATGTTTGATCAACTAGAAGTTCACCTTCTATCAAATCAATATTTTTTGAAGGTTGTGAGAAAATATGATGAATGAATCTAGGGTATTAATGTATTATTTAAAAGAACTTACTAAAAAAAAACCAAACAAACCACAGTTCATGTTTCTCTTTGTTGTCTTAGAACGAGCACAGTGCCTGGCACCTAGAAGCCCTAGACAAATGTCTGCTAAACTAGTGGTTAGATGCTGGAACACAGGACCCCTAGGAAAGGCTAACCCTTACCCTCATCCTACCCCTACCCCTAACCCTACTCCTAATCCACAAAGGCATTACCTGGGATATTTGAATCACACAGTGTGTCTTATTTGTCAGTGTTTTCATTCAGCTTGCCATGTAGATACATGTTTCAAAAGTAATATAATAATCAGAACACACTATGTGTTCTGCATGTCTTCAGTTACATTAAATGTTTTCTGATTGAACAAAGTATTTTTAAATATGTTTAGAGTTGCATAGAAATAGAAACTAATCAATTGACTAATAGTGATATAATAAAAGGAAAATGCCCCCAATTACTCAGCATAATGTTTCATAATTTTTTCATAGTATTAAAGACAAATACCAATGTATTGGATTTTTAATCAACAACTTTTATTAGTCTACCAAAGAGGGGTTATCTCATTGCTTATTACATCTTAACCAAATTCTGATTCAACAATTCTAAGAATGTGTCACAGTGCTATATCTTCACACTATTTTCAGTAATATGTCATTTGGAAAAAGTCTTAATTATATGTTGAATTGTGTACTAAAGAGTTCCTAATAGAGTATTTTTTCAGTATGAGTTTTCTTATATAAATTCCAGATAAAGACAAGTTTTTTAATAATTCACTTTTTTAATCCTCATCTGAGGATACACTTTTATTGGTTTTAGAGAGAGAACCATCAATGTGAGAGAAAGATTGATCAGTTGCCTCCTGTATGTACCCCGACTGTGAGATTGAACCCACAACCTGGGTATGTGCCCTAGCCAGGAATCATCCCTTCGGTGTATGGGATGACACTCCAACCAACTGAGCCACACTGGCCAGGGCCAGATGAAGACATATTTACATTGACTTGAGGTCTGAGGAATTCCCAAGTATGAGAACTTTAAGGTTGACTAAAGTTAGTGTGTCATCACTAAAGACTTTTCCTTCATTCATGACACTAAGAGTTTTATATGGTGAAAATCTTCACATGTCCTAGAGTATTGCTCTGTGAGTGAAGGGATTTCTACATTTACTTATTTATTTTTATTTTTTATCCTCACCCAAGGACATTTTTGCCTTTATCTTC